GATTGGGGCCAGGGAGATGGCTCAGTGGAATGAATAAGTGCTTCCCTGGCAAGCGCAAGGGCCTGAGTTCAATCCCCGGTTCCGAAAAAAATAAATAAATAAAATAAAAAGGACTTGGGATATAGTTCAGTTTCCTCCATACTGCAAAAATAAACAAGTAAATACAATCTCATGTCCTTTGTTGTCTCTGACATTCACAAGGACTAAGCAAGCACTGGATGTCCGTGTGGCTTTCCCAAGCCTCTGCTCACCAGCAGCCTTGGTTTTCAACCCCAAGTGTGCACTAGAATCACAATTTGGAGACAGGGATGACAGAGGCACTGGAGCAATTTTTACTTACTCAAGTGATTCCAAAAGGTAGCCAATAGAAACCATTTGACAAAGAAACTGTCAACTGCAAAAAAGGAATTGTTTACACCTCTATCTCAAAAGAAAAGTTATCTATAAACCATTTTCTTATGTAATTATATTGCTTTCTATAAGCAAATTATAAAATTGTATGTACATACTGAAATACACCCCCACATTACTAATAAGTCCAACTGTTTACCCTGCTTGATATATATAAGCCATACACCTTTTTCCTTTCCACCTGACAGGAATCTCCACATCAGTAATGGAACCTTCTAATAATCCAACTTTTATTCCAATGGTAGCAAATGACTCACTGCACTGAGCCAAAAGCCAGGACTCTAACACACATCTGGTCAGATAAAAGCATACAACAGCAACTAGCAAGAACAGTGCAAACTAAAAGGATATTTGAACAAATCGCTGTCAAGCTTCAGAAATTTGGAATATAGAGAGACTGAAAGCAGTGTAGAACAAAGGATCAAAACCTAGGACATGAACACAAGACCGTCAGAACTGCTCAAGATCTAGGCATGACAAAGAATATGAAATTTTTTACTGAGCTGGATGCTATTATGGGACACTCAAAACCAAAAACTCACAATTGGAAGGTAAAGATGAAGTCACACATAAGGAAAAAAGTGTTGATGTAAAAATGGAAGACGACCGGACAGGTAGGAAGGTGAAAAAAAGCATTCAAAGTGTTACATCATCATAAGAATGTCCAGTTGCATATGATGCATGCAATCTAAGTAACAGCAACAGATTTCATTAAATGCTATGTAACTACATGCTGAAATTTCATGCAGATTTAATGTATACTTGATCTCTAGAACATAAAAAAGTACAAAGTTCATACAAAAGAGATAAAATTGGATTTTCAGATAATACATTAAGGACCAGGGAGATAGCACAGTAGAATAAGCACTTGCCTGGTAAGTGCAGGGTCCTGAGTTCAATTCCTGGTTCCACAAAATATATATATATAATTTTAGTAAAACAAGTATGTAACTCCAGACCAAAGAAACTAAAACATATTTGCATACTAATTGTGGTAAAATTCAGTAAATGTAGAAAGAGCATTAAAGAACTCAGAAAAACATAAAATTCTTCAGAATGTCCTGGAGGTAGCTGGTGAAATTCTTCTGGGACATATCGTTAAATTCTTTTTCTTTTTTTTTTTTGCTTTTACACTTTCATTGGGGGACAGGGCAGAGGTCCACTTCCCTGCCCATGCAGAGGCGCTCACAAGTTCTTCAGCCACTCCAAGCTGGGGCCCTGAGCGTCCTGGGGGTGGCTGGGCACATCAGGCATGTTTCCGTCATCTTGGACGGGCACTGGGTAGTTGTAGGGCGTGGCCTGGAGTATTTGGTGTACAGGGCATTATTATAGGGAGGCCCGTGATCGCGGCTCCTGGGCCCAGGTGTTTTTGAGGAAGGCAGCGACTCTAAACACCATGTTGCTCGGTGGTGGCGGCAAGGGTGCAGATCATAAAATTCTTGAAATAAATGTAACCCAAAAAGAATGAGATACAATACACACACACACACACACACACACACACACACAGAGCCATGACAGCATGAAATAAACTCAAAGAATTCTAGACAACTCCGAAAGTTCAAGCTCCAACTTGCTCTCTATAAACCTTGAAGCAACCAAGAGTCTCTGCTAGACCAAATCCCAAAGTGGTAAGAGCAGACAAAATGCTCCTACAGACTACTACTAACCATGTTTCCAGATCATGTTCTCTGACTTAAATGATATGGTCCTAATTCTATGAGTGCATCTGCCTAGGGGAGGGAGATGAGTTAAAACTGAGCAACAGTGGTTGGCTGAGAAGTCTCAAAACTGTTGAACAAGAAGCTGGTATGTTCAAGAATTAAGAGAATTACACAACTTCCCCCTCATTAAAATTAAAATGTAAGATGTCTGGAGATAAAGAGTAGCCCAAGCACAGTAGCACGTCATGTTTGTACAGTCACTGCTGGAGACACATTTGAAGATGACTGCATTAGTTCTCTGTCAGAAGACCCACTCAGAGACTCACATATACCCCATATCCCTAGTGACCTATGAATCCAAACCACAGGAATCAGGTGCACTCTAAATGGGAAAATAGTACATAATTGAAAATACAGTCTGAAAGAGAAAACACACCACTATCCTTCCCCTTCTGTTCACTGCATCCCCTTCTGTTCACTGAACAACGGATTGGTTCATGATCCTACCACCTCTCTGGGCCCCACCTCTAAAGCCTGCTGCAGAAGTCTTGCTTGAGCAGGCCCTCAATACTGAGTTACTGAGTGTTTGGGAAACTCTGCAGGAGGTTCTCACAATAGGTTATACACATCATCCATGCTACAAAAACTAAGGTACTTGAAAATTACATGAAGCATTGTTGGATAATACTCATATTTAGGAAATACATAAAAGGAAGAGATGAATAATGTAAGTAATGTTCCCTACAGCTGTTGTCCCAGCTGCTGCGTAATAGCACCACTTGGAAGTTTATTCAAAATACAAATTATTGCACCCCGTTCCAGAACCAGAAACTCTGGTGTTGGGGCCCAGCAATCCCTTTCAGCAAGTTCTCCTCTCCCAAGTCTGGGAATACTGGCTCACTGCTGGGAACACTGAAGGCGGGGTAAAGATGAGGACAGTGCCTGCACTGCTCAAATCAGAACTGGGAGGGAGGGGCACCAAGCCCCAGCAGAAACTGAACTCTGTGTACACATGTAGTCATTAGCAGAAAGCTGAGACCCACACAAAGTATAAAAGTCAGTGTTAACTTATCAGACAAGATACTCAAATTCCTGTCTGTGATACATCAGATAGGACAGATTCTGTGCTCCTCAGGCCCGAGGGCATAAAAAGTGCTTTTTGTCAACGAAAAAGAAAGATGAAAAAGAGAGTAAGAAAGATTTCTACAAACGAAAGAAAGGAAGGAAGAAAGAAAGAGAAAAGAAAAGATAGGTAGAGATAGATAGATAGATAGATAGATAGACAGACAGATAGATAGATAGATAAATAGATAGATATTTTCTACAAAAACAATTAGGTGCCACAGGGGCCCGGGGCTTAGTTCAGTGCAAGAGTACTTCCCTAAGCTGCAGGGAGTCCTGGGTTCAACACCCAGCACTGCAAAGTAAATTGTTTTTTAAAGTTAAAAGCCTTTGCACTTCAAAACCTTTAGGGGCTGGGGAGATAGCTCAGTAGAATAAGCGCTTCCCTGGCAAGTGCAAGGGCCTCAAAAAAAAAAACAAAAAAAAACAAAGACTTTAGATTGTTAGTTTTCTGGAAAAGTCACTGGAATACAACACCTCAAGACATTTTTTATAGCACTTGCAAGGGGAGAGTAAAGCAGGAGGATCACTGAGTTTGAGACCTAAAGTCTAAATTATTTTAGCTGTTCACATGAAAATGAAAGCAAAGACATGAACCTGTAAGGATGCCAGCAACTAAGTACATACAGGAAAAAAATAGGCAAGGATGTTAGGTATACCAGACACAGCTTGTGATAGCGACATAGACGGCTCACACTCAATGATGAAAGATTATAATTTTGAGGTATGTATTAGTTTTCATCTGCCAAAAAAAAAATCACATCCTTTTTTTTTTTTTTTTAATCCTGTACTTATTTGGTAGAGTTTCATTATGCAACTCAGACTCATAGTGACCCTCCTGTCTCAGTCTCCCCAGCACTAGGATTATAGGCATGTGCCACCATGCCTGGTTTCAGTGGTGGGCACAGCATGCCTGGGGGGGTCCCGGGGCCAGCATGGCTTGTGGTACTGGGGACCGAACCCTGGTCCTTGCACTTGCCAGGCAGGCGCTTTGACCACCAAGCTATATATCCCCAGGCCACATCAATGTTCTTTTTTTTTTTTTCCAGAACGAGGAACTGAACTCAGGCCCTTGCACTTGCCAGGGAAGCGCTTATTCTACTGAGCCATCTCCCCAGCCCTACTAATGTTCTTTTTTAAAAAGAAAGAAGTTATGGGTACTCTCATGTAAAACGAGGTTGCCTCATTTTAATTTTATCAATAAATTTCATAATTGGTGTTGCTATTAAAACCTGATAAAGGCTTTCACCACCTTGGGCCCCTGGCTATGCTGGTACATGATGCTCTCCTCGGCCAGAAGCCGGAGGATGAGCCTGGCGAGGACTCCAGCCCCAGTCCTGTTGGAAGCGGTGGCAGCAGCAACAGCAACAGCGGTTCCCAAGGAAGAGGATGAAAAGGGAAAAGCAATCCTTTCTGCAGCTGATGGTGTAACTAACTGCCTTTGGATGCTAATGTTACTGGAAGAACCGCGACTGCCCAGGAACTTTCATACCATACCCTTCTGCTCCTAATCTCCAGTCCTCTTCTGATCACTTTAGAACTAGGATTGCCAGGGATGTGGATGCACTGGAGCACATGTACCCAGGAGGCTGGGGAGATGGCTCAGTAGAATAAGCGCTTGCCTGGCAAGTACAAGGGCCTGAGTTCAATCCCTGGTTCCGCAAAAAAAAAAAAAAAAAATGTACCCAGGCGTACGGGTACCCATCTGATACCACTCCAGAGTAGGGCTCCATTCTAGTCTCAAATATTGGCAATGTGAGGACTGACTTTCTCATTAAAACCACTGCTAAATGGGGCAAGGTGCTGGCTTTCTGGTACTGCTCATTAAAGCCAGGTTTGGGATGCATAGGAAGGCTCACAGCACAACTTTACTCATGGGATGTGTTCACTAAATCTCATCTGAACTTCCACAGCCATAAAATATTCCTGACATGTTTCCCATCACTTCTGTTACTCGCTGCAACAGACTTTCTCATTGCTTGGATTGTGATGTATACTTGTAAATTGTGGAGAAACACAAAGTGTACACAAGGTTCCACAAGTTTCAATACTGTTTAAAATAGAAACCTGTGAACATGGAAAATACAAAAAACAAAACACCTGATAAAAACTGATCCCCAGAAAGTATTGTTTCCTACCGTTAACGTATGCTATAAGCTTTTTATTTTATTTATTTATTTTTGAGACAGGGTCACACTCTGTTTTACAGGTTGCCCTTAAGCTCACTAAGTAGTCTGCCTTCAATTCATGGGAATCCTCCAGACTCAGCCTTCCCAGTGCTGGGATTATGTTCTGGCTTATAAACTGCTTACTGAAAAAAAAAAAAAAAATTAATGAGTACATTAGACCTGAGACAAGAGAAGATTAGGGCACAGCAAAACTGGCTGGAGAAGGGGTGGGGAGATGGCTCAGTAGCATAAGCACTTCCCTGGCAAGCGCAAGGGCCTGAGTTCAATCCCCGGTTCTGCCACAAAAAAAATAAAATTAAAAAAAAAAAAACTGGCTGGAGAAGTAGGCATGAACTGTTAATAAGAAAATCCCAGAACATACTCATGCAGAACAGTTCCCAAAGCCCTGCAGGTAGACTTCTGAGAACTTAAGCAAGTTTTCCATATGACAACCCAGGCCAGATAGCCACCTGACAAGTGGGTGATAAAAAACCCAGTCTACACTGACCTTTTGCCACGACGTTCCCTCCCACATATTTGGATGTCTTCTTGCTGAAATGTGGACTTTTCATTAGCCCCAGCTCACTCTGTAGAGCCTGTTTCTTTTCCTACTTTTGACAGAACTTTGCTATCCTTTGTTCTTGTCTGGACCATCTCTTTACCAAGGATATAAAGAACCTATAACCACCTCCAGAAGGAGACTCCAGCACCCCAAAGCCCAGCAACAGACCCTCTGAATTCTCAACAACTAGATCAGTTCCTGACTTAAAACTTCTGCAGACTCTGTCTAGTTAGTCAGACAGGTGAAGCACCTATATTGTTAGATGCTTCAAGCATACCCAACGCTAGGAATAGCAAGGCTGTCATTTGCTAGCGGAGTGCTCAAGACAGTAACACATAGGTTCCAGTTTAATTCCAATCAGGAAAGAAAAACTAGTCCTAATAAATTACCACTTAATATGCATCACTAATGCCATATAAAAGAAACCACTAAGAAGTATCATATAATCCTTCAGGCTACTCCTGCTACCATATGTAAAATGAAATGACCTATGAAAATTCCATTATGGGCTGGCCAGATAGCTCAGAAGACTAAAGTGCCTGCTTAGGCAGAGCGTAGGGACCAGGATTCAATCCCCAGTGTGCCGTGCCAGCCCTGCCCCCAGGACACACTGAGACACAGAATGAGACTGGGCATGATGGCACACGCCTGTAATCCCAGCACTAGAGAGGCTGAAAACAAGGATGATCACTATGAATCAATCTGTGTAGTGAGACCCTATAGACCTGTACTTAAAAAAAAAAAAAAAAAAAAAAAAAAAATCCATTAACTACTTCTTTAGATCTAAAATAAATGTATTTTATTTTTCTCCTTGGTCTGAGTCAAGAGTGTAAAAGGAATCTGAAAGGTATCAGAGGAGGACTTAAAGACATTTGACAATCTTACGCATTCATCTCTTCTAAACAGAATAGAGAAGCAAGTTGCGTTAACCTCTCCAGTTAATCCGAGTCAAGTATCACATTCTCTGCTTTGTAGCACAGAACACTCACTAGCTGAGCTAGCGCCTCTTCAGGGCCAGAGTCAGGCATACCTAAACACATCTCCAGAGATAAAACACTGTACATCCTACTAGGAAAGTCGCTTTGAAATCTCAAATGAAGTACCATATCATTCCTGAGAGCAATCTTAGAACTACCTATTTTCCTTTAGATTGAACTAATAATTTATTCCAAAATTGACATTTTCATCCATAATTAACAAAAGTTAACAATGAGATGGCCAGCAGGGGGCATTAAAGTATATCTATTACTATCTCAGAAGGCACTCAAAAAATATGAGGCTTTCTCCAATTCCTCTGTTTCAATAGATCAAACACTGGAAATATTTTTTTTAAATAGGAAACATTTAAACTTTTTGGTGTATTTTGCAAGCAATCTGGGTAACAACAGCATTAAAATTATTACATAAATAAAGGGCTGGCCAGATAGCTCAGTGGACTAAAGTGCCTGCTTAGGCAGATCGCAGCAGCTGGGGTTCAATCCCTGCCCCAGGGGCGTGCTGATCCAGTGACTGAG